GGATCATGGAAGCTCAATAACCCACTTGAGTGAATTCATGTAATGCTCTAATACTCCGGTTGTATTTTTGAAATTTTCAGGGACCGATACACCAAACTTGAACGAGCTTCTGAGTGATCCAGAGTTGTTAGAAGCTTTCCAGGTTGGTACTAAATGTTGTCCGTGTCGTAAATTGTGTCACAACCTCAATTTTGAATCGAGTATCGAAAGTGATCCTGGATTGTGTGTTTTCTTACTTCACCACGCTCTTTGAATGGTCAAGAATTCCCTCATTCTGGCTCAACTAGAGACTCTCTTTTTGATTTTCAGGATCCTGAAGTGATGGCCGCCTTCCAAGATGTGAGCCAAAATCCAGCAAATCTCTCAAATTACCAACATCTTCCCAAAGTCCAGATGATCGTCGACAAACTCGCCGAGAAGTTTGGTCCCGCGGGATCTGGCCCGCCACCTGATACTAGCGGGTTTCCCGGGGGTGGTTTTCCCGGAGGTGGTTTTCCCGGGGGTGGTTTTGGAGGCGGTTTTGGAGGTGGTTTTGGAGGTGGGTTTGGAGGTGGGTTTCCTGGCGGGGGTTTTGGTGGTGGCTTTCCGGGCGGAATGCCATTTGGGAACATGTTTGGCGGCGGGCGGTGAATAACAATTGTGAACTCGAATTTACTTTGGATTTTTTTTTCTTTTTGCTGCGCAAAAGCAAAACGTGAAACAGTAACTAAGTATTGTAGTCTTAACGACACGAATCGCTTTGCGTTTCAAAATAGAGCGACCTCTTTTGTTAAATGTGTAGCCAACCTCGTAATAGCCGAGGGCGATAGTGAGTTTGCAATTCTACTATTTCTACCAGAAACCGAAGGAAGGGTCAGTTTGATCTGGTTAAACTACTTAAAAAGTGAGGTCAATTTACATTATAATTTTCAGTTCACACCTGAACTTTTAGTCCTTTATACCAACATACTTAGAAAAGCCATAGGCTGACGCAGTTTGCCGGAATTGTTCCGTGGGATGTTTGTGGCATACCACGATAACAAAAAATCCGGCTGGGTTTCTTTTTCATTCTTACTAAATTGTAACGACCACAAAACTGAAAAAAGGCAAGATTATTACACCGTTAACAAACTTCTAGCACCAATAAATTCAGCACTTAATCTCAAAACAAGTCCTTAAAACATAATAAATGATCTGTGGTTCCAAGAAATGATTCGTCCTTTTCGTTGAATTTATTTGCAAATGCGCCTCTTCACTCACACACTATACCCTTTTGTAACTTCTCGAGGAAAACATATTCCTCGTCTCCATTCTTCAGAGAACTGAATCAGGATTTTCACATCGAGTTGGATCGCGGCGTAGGGCTCCAGGGTAATGCATAGCATAATCTTTAAATGTCTCGAAACTCAAATGGATATTAGCTAATCATATTTCGAGCCCTAGTCATAGTCTTTTCATGATGTGCTTTCAATCCTCCCATCTAGAAACATCTTTACTTTACAGTTCACTCGATGGCAAGATTTCCGCATAACCCTAAACTTCATATGCATACTGTTGTTTGCTAAACGAAAACCACGGATTGCTTTTGAGACTTGAGCTTAGTTTTGGAATAGTATAAGGTTCTATGGAAACATTTCCCACACAGGTATTTCTTAAGTTGTTTTCTCTGTTACCATGCCAATATTTTGTTAAAGGGGGTAAGTTTCTAAAGAAACTGTGGTGCTGCGTCGGGGGGGAGAGTATAACAGGTAATTTAATATTATCAAGTGAGTTGTTAACGTAAATTGGCCTCCGAGAAGAGTTTAAAAGCTGACGTTTCCAGCGTTAGCCCTTCGTCAGAGCGATTGGAGCAGATCAGAACAATATTTTGTTAAATGTGTTTCGCTCCGAGTTGAATGTACTTTTGCTCAACAAACAATCACAATATTAAGTTGTCTTTTATCTCCCCTGTGTAATCCTGACCTTGGTCTGTTCAAGGTGACGTCAAAGGTGCAAATGGCAAACCTTTTACTGTGCATCGCGTGTAATGTTTCCGGAGAATAAGATGTGATCGATACTTCGCAGTTGCTTAAACAATTGATGTTTTTCTCGTCAAAACGTTTATTTCTTAATTTACAATCTAGATCACAATCGTGGTTATTCAACAGTAAAAAAGGCATTGTCTTGCACTTTATCTCAGTTGCTCCGTTAGCAAGATGTTAGCACCTCGACTGACATTGATAGTGGATCGTGCGATGTTCGCTTAGTCTGATAGCTTGAAGAATAATTTAAAGTCAGCTTGAATGATATGGCCCGAAAACACCTTGAAAGAAACCGAAATTGGATTGTTTCAGTTTCTCCTAAGCGAAGGTTACAAGCGCAATGACCAACGCCAAGAATCATCTGGTACAGAGAGGCAAGTGAAAGACCAAAGTATGATGCTGAGTGTCCCAGATATTACGCTGACATCCAGCTGTAATTCGCTGGAACCGTCTCGATTTAGGACCAGACGAGCCAGCTTTTCAGGCGTTCAAGACATCCGGCTCTCGCGGCCACGATTTTCCACCAACACCACCTCGCAATCACATCCCCCGGTTCTTAAAGAGAGTCGGTCTTCACCGGTCTCTGTTATTGAGATCCAGCCACAGCGGACGTCTGACCGCCGAGGATCCGTAGGTCAACGCCGACGGTCGAATAGTGTATTTGCGAAGGGTCTGGTACAGCCTGCCTTGGTGCTGTTAAGAGTGAGACGTCGGAGTAGAGCTTTGAGCTCAAGAGAGATCAAGCTATTAAGGGTGAGTTACAACAGGTTATCGAGGTTTGTAAAGCGTCAGGATTTTTTGAAAAGGTATCTAAATTTGTCAGTTCATCAATAAGACCAGGAAAAGTACGCTCATCTTCCTTCAAGGGAAGTACAAGACCCATACAAGGACTGGACTACAAAAAGAAGCGGAAAAGCCTAAACGAACTTTTAAACCTTTCTTTAATTCCAGAGACAATTTGGTGTTGTATCAAGGTGACATCATCCACATATTGACTTCGTGTCTACTTCTCACCTGTTTGCCGGATCATGTGCTGAGAGGAGAATTTTAATTTTCGATCACTGTTAACAGCTAAGAGCTAATTCTTTTGCATTGCACTTACATAACGCACTCCGAGAAGCCGAATCATGTGAAAGGTTTTAATCCTGAGCATAATTGGGTATGGATTTCCTCTGTGCTCTAGGAGGGAGTTAACACCTCGATTAAACTTAGTTTCTAAAATCAATCCACAGAGTTTTCCTAACTGTACCCGTGTAACACTCGAGGTGGGTTTTGTCAACCAATTGTACGTCCGCGCAGGCGTATTTCTGGTCCAGGTTGTAAACAGGTTGAGTGTGCCGATTTGCCTTCAGTTGCCTTATTTTTGTTCCCAAACGTTGATCGTCACACCAACGCGCGGATAGTAGAGAGAACCTGGGTGTTAATTGATTTCCGACACGAAAATTGATTTTTCGATTGGGAAAATACCCTGACTGAATTTTGAACGGTATGTTACGCCATACCTGGGAACAAAGATTGCCACGATATATTAAAAACAGATGGATTAATTTTTATACCGGAATGAACACTTGAAAAATCCGGAAGCCTGAAATTAGATCAAAACACACCCTCGTATTTAGGTACAGAGAGCGAAATCCAGATTTCGGTGCGAAACTAATTCCTCAAACCTTGTTTCTTGACTTTATGATTTTAGTTAAATCTAGTTTGATGAATGCCACAAGCCAATAGATTATGTTCCTGCCTTTGTTTATTGTTCTGCCAGGATTTGAGCGCACGCAACGATCGTTCGTCACGACATTACTGATATCACGCTTTGTTGCAATTAACAAGCCAAAAGAAATGCAGTTTCTAATTTAAATTAAAGAAAAGGTTGTTCTCGGTAATTGTTTGTTTTATTTAGATTTGAAACAAATTATTGTTATCACGAAAACACTCAAAAATCGAGAAGGGTTTTTATTGAAGGGTCAAAGGTATTTAACCTCTCTACTCGGATTTCTCTGGCGTGTCAGCTCAAAATTATATTTAAGGCGACATGTGATACAGTTGATATACTTGCCTCTTAGTCATATTCCCCCTGTTTTGAGACTTTTCAAGGGTTTATCCTTTCCTTTCAACGACGTCAATGCTTCCATCGTTTGAAAAGAGACCGTATTTGTTTTCAAAGCGAGATACAAATCCGAACTGGCGAGAATTAAGTGCAGTTAAGAATGTCATCAACGTTACAGACGTCGAGTGTTCAGTAACCGAGCGTGAACGCGCTAAAAACACTAAATCGCGATTACATTCTCGATCAAGTCATAGACGCGATAGCCTTCCTACGATAAAAGAACCGTCAGCCCCAGATTTAACACGAACTTCGACACCAAGCACAGCAGCTGTAAGCGATGAAGGCGGTCAGTTGCTTGGATCGAAAAACGAAAACGTCCGTTTGTGCATCAAACGATGGAGGAAAATGGGCCTGAGCAGATCGAATGCGTCTACCTTTCATTTCGAGGTAAGTATTTCATCAAACAGGCTATAACCGCAAAGATAAGGTTCTAAACAATTTATTCCGTCGTATTCATTTAATAAGCTTTTTCCTTGTCCTAAAAACAATTGTTATGGCTCATGTCTAATACAACGGCTGGGGGAACGGCTGGGTGTATCAGTATGCCACTTGGAAGTTATCAGGAAATTGAGTTTATCATTGTCAAGGCAATAATTGTTTAAATTTTTAGGTTAAAGGATTTCTCAAGCTCGTAAGTGGTTAACGTAACTGTTTCCTTCTTCAGACATAAAAAGAGTTTGTCTCGAACGATACGATTAGTTCGCAACAATATATTTAGGCCGGGGTAACAGAAAGCCATGGCACATGTCAAAACTTAACGATTGCAGCAAAGATTTACCTCAACTCAGGTTTATACGTTGTGTTTATTTTAATGTCATCTCCTTTCTCGTATTGTCGGTCTCTCATTTCCCAAGTATACTTCGATTTAAAATATTGAAATTATGATATCTTTCTAAGGTGCTGAAAATAACGTATAGCGTATGTACGTGCCCCTTGATTTTGAAGCCGAACTAACTGTCAGTCTCGATGTGAAATGAGGGGAAATGAACTCTGAGGTTGTTGGTGATGATCGCGCCGAAATTTTATAAGCGCTTTGCATTGCCGAAGAGCATTTCCTTTCAAATGAATCAAGAATAATAGAACAGGAAAAGCATGAATGTTAAGTGCAGTGTGGATTCATTTTAAAAGCGCTTGGGTCTTAAAGTTTGAAACGGTAAACCGCAGTTGAGTGACTATAATTCAATGTAAAACATGGTGCGACCGAAGAGGAATCAAATGGCGCGATGACTTTCCGGTTACTACGGTCAGACTGTCTCAGGATATTACCCACCGAATAAGCTGGGAATTTTGAACAAATAGAGAGCGCTCCGGGCCTGAAGCGCTCTTAAAAATAAAGCATGCCAGTAGGGTATGAAGATTACCTCAGTTTTCTTCATTCTCCTAATTTTGGTGTCCCAGCTGCAGCGGCGTGGAGCCCATCCGGGCTCGTTATGCCGAGCAATACGAGTTTATTGGTTATCAAATGCTACATGACGAAGGCCTTTTATTTGCATGGGGCCGATTATTTATCATCAAAGTTTAGCCGTTGTCTAACAAAACGGCGTTCTAAACTATTTTGAATTTAGCCGAATCTTATATCTGAACATTCATTTTTGTAAACAGTGTCAAGCGAGCCAAAGGATAGTAGTGAAAGGAAATTTATTTAATAAAAAAAACCCTCTTAAGGGGAATACATAGGGCACACTGCTTGCGTAACGCCGCGGTTTCGGTTAGACCTCGTAAAAATAACCGGCCCTTAATGTCCAGGATTTAAATGGTAAACTTACAGTACTTCTTTCAGCACTGACACAGATAAGTTTGTATCTGGCAAATACTACCGTATTACTACACTTTTTCTGGCAGATGTGCGCACGAAATAATCTCTGATCTGTATGTATATTTAGTCTTTATTCAATTAGTTAAATAGTTTGCTTTATTTCCACAGCCCCTGCAGAGTTTCAAAAAATTAGCAAGAATAGTGCTGATTGTGATTAGACTTGGAAATGCTCTTAAAAGGTGGGTTGCCATTTATTTTCTTTAGGAGAGTCAATCTCGAGGCGTGACATGCGATGAATGTACCAAGTAAATCTAAAACAAAACTGAGCGCTATGAAATATCGGCGCTGAGGAGATTTTGTGTATTTTCCGAACGCTGATCTTAAATCCGAAATAACACGGTTACTACTTGCGCGATCTCATTGTTAAAAGCGCTTAATAACATCATTAGCTTTTATTAACAAGCGCATTATTTTTCCATCTAATAATCGAGTGAGAGCAACGCGAGGCAAGCACGGAAACGCGAATGACGCACGACACAAGGAGCAATTTTCTCCTTTTTTTTGCCCTCCTTTACCCAGGCGTCGCCCAGTCTTCACGCTCTTTTGGAGAACGCATCGTTCTCTCCCCGTTCTCGCCCCTCAATCAACTTGACATCGATTGACAACAATAACAAATGATGCCCGTTTTTCAAGCTATATTATCAGTCTCCTCTCAGTCTTTCGTTGAGCATAGGTGAATATCTGAAGGTATAGTATACAGATTAAAATGGATTCATGTGCCTTTTTTGTTCAGTGACCCCAAAGCCATTTTCCGCGAGGATGGAATTTCTAAGTCGTTACTGGAGATCATGGAAGGCTACATGACAACAAGAGAAAAACACTTAAAGGGTGACAATAAACAGAACATTCCTGGTTTCTCTACTGCTGCTCTTGTGTTTGACCCAAAACAATTCAAGGCCAATAAAGAGGTACACACTAAATGCGCTTTAAATCATTTAGTTTAAATAAGCAAAGATTAATGTTTCATGTCGGACTCCCTCTACAGATGACACCACCCTTCAAGGGACTCAAATTGTTTAACCCCAAATCAAAAAAAGTGTTTAAAAACGATTTTGTATCTATATCATTGAAAAGGGACATCTCTATTCAGGGACACTTTTTCTATGTCCCCAAGGCGTTCTGTAAATGAAAATTCGCTTTGATGGTTTGGAAAGAATGCCAGCTATTTAAGAGGCCAATCTCACGCTTCCTCTTTAGTCAAACACTATTAATTAAGAATCGACAGGTAATAAATGTAGGCAATGCATTAGAAAATCGCTGTCATTAAAACATCAGCCGATGGTCAAAAGCCGGTGTCCACATTTGCAAGTTTACATTTTCAAGTTTTTTCTGGTTTTATTGACAGGTAAAGATTAGCAAGGAAGTCAAACAGTTGTTAACCACCCGGCCAGATGTGCGCACAAGCGACCAACTTCAAACTGTGAGTTACCTTTACATTACTTAAATTTGAATTGAATCGCTGTTATTCGGGAAGTAGGCTTAGGGGAACACGACCTATTTGAAGGGGATATAAAAAACATTGAAAAGAATTCAATTGTTTGGATAGACAACGACAAATGCAGGGGAAAATGTCTGTCTCAAGAATACTATTGTACTAACCGCCGAAAAAACAATGGGGTCCCTTAAGAGAGAACTGCAGGGTAACTTGTGTATGCTTCAACTGATGAACTTTACACCGAATCAGTGGGCTCCTACTGAATGTCGAAAACATGTTATCGCTTGTAAGGCGCTTTAAAGTCGCAAATTTAACAAAATAAGTAAAAATGATCTCGTAGTAGGTCACACTTCTTTCCTTAAGACGTTTGTTCATGTCATCTCGGTTTGTTCCAACAGGTGTTGTACGCTCTTCAAACCTTGGAATCTTTCTCTGAGCTCCCTCTCCATATGCAACAAGATGTGTGCAAAGTTGCCTGGTTACAAAGGTATAAAAAAAATCATATAATCGTTTTTTTTCTTCTTTAAAAATGTCGTGGTTCCTTCGTTTTGATTCGTTAAAAGGTCATGTTATTTGAGGTTACATACCGTGAACAACTTGAAGCCTTTGTCGCGGAATAAACAAGGCATTTTGTCGCAATTTCTGTGGCACGCTTTGGAAGTTTTTCGAAACTTGGCGTCAAATCAATGAGAAATTTCTGTGATGCTTAAATTATTTGTTGGCTTTTTTGTTCCTCAGAGTCGTGATCGACTTCTTTCGTTAAAAACCAATCCTTTTAAATTTGGTTTGTTTTTTTGCTTTCTTTCAAGCCTTCCCCCGAATAAAGTAATTATAAAACAAGATCACGTGGCCGAAAACTTTTATTTCATCATCAATGGAACGGGTAAGTAACTGATGTTAAATCCTCGTAACGCTCTACAAAGTCAGTTCACCCACAGTTCATTCTGAAGGTTAACCTCTCGCAGGTTTCATTTCACACTCCTCAGACTGCCTCCATGCATCTTACCAAATCTCATACCTATTTTCATTTTACAACCTCGATAAAGATAATTTATGCGTTGCTTTATTGGCCATAACGGCTAAGGAATATTTCACTAGCAGGTTCCTTAAAACATAAAGCTTTGATGGTAGCTCCTCGAGCTCGTTGAGTAATCAATATGGCATGAGTTGAAATCGCATGCGTTGAGGAGAAGATACGTGAGTAATATTTACTTAGTGATCGACTGAGTGGGGGACGGTACTGCTAGCCGGAGTGAAGCTTATTCCGGAAACACAAGAAGAGGTCGTGAGAGAGGAAATGTGAAATCATCGGTAAAGAAGAGATACATAAGACACGATAAAGAGTGTTCTTCAAGGCTTTGCACTTTTGCTCCCTTGGGTGTTTGACTCTCGACAATCATCTCCTCTTGCTTCAGATGCGATTTACCCAAACTCGAATCATTTGTTGTCCTGTTGTGTTTTTTAATTTCCGTATCACAATGTAGTAACTGTGCTATCCGAAAATGATCC